AGCTAGCTTGCAGCTTATTTGGTTAGCTTATAAACTTCATGTATTTAAATAAACTTCATTTGCAGGACGAACTTTTTTAAAAAGCTCGAGCTTATCTCGTAACCTTCTTTGGGTAGCTTTTCAAATAAGCCCGTTGAAATTTTTATTTCAACTAGCTTATTAGCTAATTTTACCAAACATTTTTATCATATAAGCTAGCTTTTCAGCCATAAGTTATAAGCTATAAGTTCGAAAATTACTGATCAACTATTAACTAGCTTATCAGTTAACATAGCCTTAGTGGCTAGTTGTTTTGTTCTTTTATTTCCGTTCTAATAATCCCTAATAAATTTTGTTAAAGGCTCCAGTAGGTTGACTGTCAAGGGCTCCTATGTCTAATTGTCAAGAGCTTCTATGTCTTAGACCATCTTTGGATGGATCTCCTTAGTTTGGCTTTAGTTGGCTAGTTTTTTTTTTTTTTTTTAAAAAAAAAAAAGAACGATAGATTCATTAATAAAATACATAATCACAAGTGGCTAACTAGTCGAATGAACTAGCTACATAGCTGAATTTAGATAAGAGGACATCCCAAAGGGAATCCTAGACTACCACAAACACAGCCACAATGACAATACAAGTACTCCCACCAGTGGAGAATACGATTCCTATAAAGGAGAGTAAAACTGAAAAGAAATACAGAAAAACAATTCACACTAACTACAATATAGCAAACTAAAATACCGCCCTCCCCACTAGTAGACCGGCTACACCGAACCCTATCACTCGAACCACCGAAGGCGACCACCTAAAAGGCAGAAAGCACGGCCCAAGACTCGAATCCAAAAAGTCTTTTCAAACGACGGCTAACGAGATCTGTGTATACGAATGACTAAACACCATCGAAAGAAACACCTAGAGGCCAGCGTTCAACCCCTCCTTTAACAAAATCCGGCAACCGCAGTAAAAAAACCCCTGGAAAAGACAACCGCCATTTTTGTACCCCTCGACTTCCTAACTCCATAAAGGATGGGAATAAAGAAGGAGATTATGCAAGTCCACAGCCCTGATCGTAGAAAACCATCAATCATCGTCGGCCACAACAACAACAGTCGTCGCCGGCCACAGCAGCAACACCGACAGATGCCATCACCACTCAGGTCCTCCAATTAACAAGGGAAACGCCTTCGTCGACGAAGAGCCGAAGAACTGCTGAAATGCCCACTCTAAGCTCAGGTGTCGTTCGTAGGGGGCAGAGTGAAGGGACCGTTAAAGATCGTCGTTATTGTGCAAGTCACGAAATTAAAACTATAATATAAACTTATGCTCAACGGAACTAAAGTTTAGCGTAGAATTTTTACTGCTTAAAATCATCGAGTCTAAGACATTGTAGATTTCCGTTGATGGAGATATGTTGATTCCACTCGCCGAAAAAATCATCTCGTTGGAATCACGGAGTTGCTGGTGGTCATGCAGGTCTTGGCTATGTGCAAGGTGGTCGGCGGGGATGGCTCGTGAGCGGGTCGTGCGCGTCTTTCCTGACGGCGCGCTAGCGTGGGTGGTGCGCGAAAGTCACAGGGGGCCTCGTCAACCTCTGAGCCTTCTGTTGTATTACCCGACACCTCTTCGGTTGTCTTTGTGGGCGACAAGCTCGGAGACGACTTGATTGAAAAAAGGTCGGCCGATGCGTTTTATGCGTGTGGTTGTGTGTCTTTCAATCCCAAGCGTATATTTCTTATAGGCTACAACATGGACCCCGAGGAGATGATAATGTGGGATTCTTAAGTCTTCGGCCCAACTGTGGGTCAAATCCACTATGCTCAATAACTTAGATAATATTTCAGTCCACTAAAGAAATAGTTTCGCACTCCCTCATTATCCCCAATTTACTTTCGAGGCTCCAATAATAATTACCCGAATTAACTCCCCATGTATAAGATATAATATTACCGAAGCTAGTACCACTCAATATATTATTATTATTATGCCGGAACTTAATCCACCTGTAGGGTTTAACATAATAATATTTCATGAGCTCACTTCTGGGACATCATCAAGCTAACTCATACGGTGACAATAAATATTCGAACAATAGACCATCACTACCCAACTCACCCAGAATATTGGTCCAGACAAAATGAACCTCGCCGTTTGGTGAATCAAGACAGTGTCTACTACATACATATGTATGTTTATGTCTTACGATTTAAAAGAACGCAATAATTAACAGAGACCTAGTTCGTTTACAACGATCAATATAAAACGAAGTGCTTTTCTTTGGGATCCCTTAAATACACAAGTGTACTAGTGCAACTAATCAGTCAAGACGTACTGTACAATTGACACTACAACCATTCCGATAGTTTGTTCATTTCCATCTAGGTTGTGAACCAATTATTTATGTTTTTACAAGTGACTGATAAAATGATCTTCTGTCCATTTTATCTAAGTACAAAACATGAACATAGAAATAGTGTAAACAACATCTAAGTACAAAACAACAGCCAGAACATAGAACTTGTTTAATCAAACATGATTCTCATTCAACAGAAATAGTGTAAACAACGTCCAAAATCATGCTTTCAGTATATACACTAACACGGAGCCCCAGCCAGTGAGATGGCATTGTAAGAAAACGAAGGCTAGGTTTTTTGATTTGGGAATTTGGGCTTTTCACCAAGGAAGAAGACGTTTCTCATTTTTTTATTTCTTTTTATCTTCTACTTTAGTTGGTTAGTTGGCCACTCGTATTATGTATTATACTGTTTCGTTGAATGAGAAAATTTTTTATCGTCTTGAAAAAAAAAGTTGAAAATTGCTTTCCCTTTTCATTTGCAACACTTGAGAAACATGAATAACGCTCTCATTTAGGTATTTCATTTTTTTTTTTTAGAGAAAAAACACCCCAGAAGGGTAGGGGTTTAAGGCCAGACCTCCAACCTTTATATAGTCAGAACCCTAAATGGGCTGAAAATCACAAGTCTACACGTCCAAATAGCAAATAAAAATAACAACATAAGCAAACAAAGCCTTCCCGGCATCACGTCCTGGCATGTGCGCGGCAACTGAGCCTTCCATGGTGCCGAGATCCCTTGGGACCCATTTATTTTTCGATTTCTTATTGTAACTTCCGAGTGAGCAACCGACTTGTGGTTGCCCTCGTTTTCATCTTTTCTTGCGAATGAGGAGCCGGCTTGTGGTTGCCCATTACGCTTTTGTTTGTCGTCTAACGGTTGTCCGAACTCAGTTTTGATCTGTATATTCACATTTACCGATCAAAAAAAATAAAGAAAGAGAAAATTGCACACAGTACGATTACTTTCATTTTTTATTACATAAATATAACCACATGGTAAATATTAGCATGTTAACATAATCTAATGATTTTATTTGCAGAAATACTACATAGAGTTCAAATCTGATGCAATCAAGGTAAGGCGTAATTAAGGGGAAAAACTTGTCAAATCCGAAATAATTAATTAGTAAGATTTTTTCTCTCACACCTCAGCACTTTCTCTCTCTCTCTCTCTCTCCCTCCCCCCCTATCTCTTCTTCTCCTTCTTCTCTCTCCCTCTCTCTGTTTTTTTTTTCTACCTGATCGGTGGAAGACGGCGACCAACGACTTAGATGAGAGGACCAAACCTGCTCGAGCCAACCGGTGGAAGACATCGACCAACGACTTGATGATAAACGAAACAATCACCACGATGAAGGACCAAACCGGCTCAATCCGAAAATCGGTCGTGGAGAAGGCGAAGAAGAAGAAGACGAAGAGGCTGAGCGAGGTCAAAATGCCCGAGGCCGTGAAGAAGAGGAAAATCTTTTATGTATATATCCTTGGACAGTCTAATGTGTTTTATGTATATCTTCTGTATATATTCTGTATATAATGACAAGATTGATTTATCTTGTATTTTTGTATTTATGTCGTCTGTATATAATGAGTATATCTTCTGTATATAAGTCTGATCGTGTATTTTGCATGTATTAAACCAGAAAATATACTATAAATATACAGAAAAAACACGAGATGTAAATAACACAAAAAGTAAACAAAAAAGGATTACGAATAGATAAATTTACCAGGTTTATTTCGCATATTTTTTGGACTTATATATTTTCTCTATATTCTGTATATATTATGTATATTTTTTCGATGAATAGCAGCAAGATGAATGATTTTTGTGATCCTGTATGTTCTGCAGATTTCAGATTCCTTTCAATTTTATATGAACGTCTTCCTAAATAGTAGGAAATATAGACTTTTT